CGCATCCCAAATATAATCAGTCATTTCATAACACACATCCCAATATCCAATAATCTAATTCTTGACATCCAGTGATCTGATTTGAACAAAAATATTACTGTTCGATTTGTCTCGACTAGACGAATCGAATAGTAGTATTTGTTGTTCAAATCGGATAACTGGATATCGAAATATTGCATCTTAATGTAGCAGATTCATTTTTTTATATAACAAAAATGAATCGATCAATTTAGGACGCGATATCTCGATATTCCGTAATCTGAGTCAAATAAAAATAATACCATTCAATTCGTCTTGACTAGACGAATCAAACGGTATTATTTTTATTCGAATATGACTACTGGAGATCGAGATACATGTACGTATCACTTTCGATTCATTTTTAGGCGATCAATTTCTAATGAAAAATTGATCGGCGAATTATGAATCGGTTACTTTAGTATGCAATATTTCGACATTCAGTGACCCAATTTGAGCGAAAATACCATGATTTGATTTGTCTAGATTAGACAAATCGAATGGTAATAATTCTGCTCAAATCGGATCACTGGATGTTGAGATATTATGTCCTAAAGTGACCGATTTATTGTATTTATAGTATGAAAGTTTATGCACATGCAATACCCGATATAGAATCTATCAATAAAAAGGTATCAATGATCAGTGTTTGTGATGTACATGTACTTTGCAATAAAATTTCAGGGACCTACACATGATCAATCAAAAATTATCGGTGCGGGGATACTTTTGTCGAGCACTGTAAAAGTAGAAATTGACCAATTTGAAATTTTTACTGACGTTAATGGGTGGAAAGATTTTTGATTCAACGGTCTAAAGTTTGGTATTGCATTACGAAATCTCGGTAAAATAACGGTTCGGTAAATTTCGGAGCCCTAAAAGAGATATTAATTCGGTCCGTTAAGATATTGACGAACGACGGGAAGGTGAAAGAAAATGGAAAATTATTCGTAATGAGTTATTTCCTGTTTTGGTTGACAATGCGATTGGCACGGAATAATTAGGATCACCGAAGTGTTTACGGTAAGATTTTCAGAAATTACTTGAACATTATTGCGGAATTAAAGGATTTATTGTTACTATGGTAACAATACATCGAATTATTACAATATGACAGACATTTTTAATATTACATGTACCTTCAATGACACAAGTAGAATAAGATACATGGTTGCAGATTTTATTATAACGAGAAAATCTAATTATAAGTCTTGTTTAGGTTGTCTTTGTTATACATGTATCAAGATTCTACATGAAATTGGTGATACGTAACGAGTTTAGACTGTAACACAGGTACCAGCTATACAGTACATGTATAAAAAAGGATATCGATATCAATTGGATGACATTTTGGTGGTAATTCATTACTGATATGATAAGTTAAATAAGATATTAAGAGGCTCTCTTAATACATCAAAACCATACGTACATGTACTATGTTTCTTCATGCATAAATGTTAACAAAGAAATGGAAGGCTTTTTTAACTCAAAAATGATGATAAAACCAATTAGCGCAGAAATCGGCTTTAATACATATATTATCTCGTTTATTTTGCTGTAATAAATCGCTGCACATATAACTAATTTGTTTTTTAAAGTAAACTGAAAGATGGGATCTAACAGTTCGAACACTCATAATTGCGGTAAATCTATTCATTGTCAAGAAAATATTTCTGATTATCATAATCGAGTTTACAAAGCTGAATAGTCTAACGAAAATGAAAATATCGACAGTCTAATAAAAGAATGCATCGAAAACTTTTGTATCTCTCAAGTTAGTTTTTGAATTAAATAAACGAATGATGGTACACAAAAGTGTCCGGTCAATAGGAAATTTCATAATCATTTAACTTGATTTTTTCAAACAGTTATAATTCAATAATTGACATATTGTTGGTAAAACTTTTTTCTAAAATGTTTTGTCAAATTAAAGTCATTGTTGAATGGTTAATATGTTGATTCCTGGTGATTTCATTTATGTCTTTAATTTTAGCAAATAACGATAACGATAATTATTCTATACTGTACTGAGAGCACGTGTAAAGAAATTGAAATGTGTCAATCACTTCGGATAATCAAATGTTGACTGTATCGTATCGGTATAGAAAAAATTTTAATTTTTAAACTCAGAAGTCATTCAAATACTTTTTTTCAGGGTGATATATAATAATAAATATAATAAATTTTAATAATGTGTTGGTTATATGATTATTAAAGATAATATGGTCTAATATTATTTTTAATTAATTTAAAAGTATTTTGATTTTTAGAATAATTATCTCTTCAGAAATTAAGGATTTACAATATTTGTCCCTTGAAAACAAACTATTTATATCGATAATAATTATCTCTTAAATTCATAGTGAAAGTACATATAACGAATGGCTCACGAATTAATAAATTACAGTATATAACAAATTAGGAATTATAACTGTCATAATATTCGGTAATTATTGATATAACGAATGGGTTCGGTTAATTAGTGAAAAATTCCAAAATTTTGTTATATCGACGATCACTGAGCATTTGCATATTGATGTACGTATCCTCTCGGATCTCACTTTTCTAAATTTTCTATTTCTTCGCTAATTATCAATATTCTTTTTTATATAGCATCTTGCTTTATCTATTTGAGTCTGGTTTTATTTTATCAAAGTTTGGTTTTTGCTATCTCTCTATTTAGAAATAGGAATCGACTCTAAGAATTAATCTCGATTATAAAAATTGCTTCCTATCTCTAAATAGAAAAAGAATAAAACCCAACTCAACAATATAATTATGCAAAATATTTACTCGAAACTTCCGTTAATCAACAAGAAAAAAGAAAATTTCAAAAAGTGAATAATCAAGAGATTACGTACTAGGTACATTTATTAAAGATATTTACGTACGCCAAATACGTATGTGCTACATGTATTGTAATGAAGCAATCTTAGCCAACAAAACTATTTTCATTTAATTAATATTCTTTATGAACAAAATAATATTGTATCGCAAATTACGTACTACATGTACGATAACGATGAATAAGGAATCAATCTCCGAGAATAACGATAACGATAAAGATGATCGTTATCGTATTTGTGTAATAATCATGCTTTACATAGAAAGAACATCTTGTTTATCTTTATTTTATTGATTAAAAAAATATATATAAAAAGTTCGCGGATGTATTAATGATCTTGTAAATAAAACAAAAATAAAAGATTGAAAGAACAGAACGACATAACGAATTCATGAAATAACGAAATAACGAAGTAAACGAAGTAACGAAATAACGAAGTAAACGAAGTAACGAAATAAACAAAGTAACAACGAAAGAACAAACGAACGAATGAGCTAATGAATAGATCGTCTAATAAAAATTTGCCAACTAAATTTCAGGAATATTATTTGCGAGGGATTATTCATTATGCTTTTCTATACTATGTAACTTTATGTTTTATATGAACGGCAGAAAGAATTATGCTTGAAAAAAATAATAAATTTAAGCAAAATTTATTAAGAAAAGTTAGCATGTGAAAAATTGTCAAAAATGACATTTGATAAATCATAGTTTGTTATACATGTACATGTAAATAGTTGTGAGAGTGATTGTGATTGCGATAAGGGTGAAGATATCAGGGGTGTTATTGGAAATATCAGTGATGATGGGTTCGGCGGAGTTGAAGAATTATTAATTAAACCATTATTATCATTATTGGTATTAATGTAACTTTCATCATGTGTATTTTTGTTAATATTATCACCAAAGGAAAAATCGAATAAAATAGGAAGTTGATTATCCAATTCATTGAACGAGTTGTTGATCGAATTTCGAGTTAGATCATTAGCATCGGTATAGTCTTGATGAATAGTTGCAAGGCCATTATTATGATTATAGATGGTTGTCGTAAAATTATTAGTATAGTCTTGATTATTGTCGGGTGCTGTCGAGATTGCTGACGTTGAAGATTGTGATCCGTTGATTGGTTTTTGAGGTGAATTGGAAGTTATTGTAGGGTTAGAGTTAGCTGGCGAAGTAGGATACTTTTTCTGTTCTCGAAAAATAAATTCTTTACCACTTGAATTTCTAGCACTTTTTGGCTTATATTTATAATTAGGATATACAAGCTTATGATTCTCACAAGCTATTTTTGCCAATACTTTGAAGAAATTCTTAACTTCGCTTGATAGTTTTTGCCACTTTAAACTGCATTCCTTTGCTGTTTCAGTAATTTTTGATTTGGAATCTCGATCCCATAAGCGTAAATACGCTGCGTAATTCCTGCGAAAAATTATCCAGCTGTTTTGTGGTCGTGGTGGTTTATCAAAATCGTAGTGTCTTTTTACGGCTGATTTTGTTAATTCGTCAATCGAAAGAGTTAATCGATAAGGGCATTGTTGTAAAATCTGTCTTTCATTCTCCGTTAAATATTCGTAATTAGTGTTGCTGAAATTAGTCATCTTTAGATAATTTATTTTGTTACGAGTGTCAATTGAGAACAAACTAGGGATTTATGTCTTTTTTATGACAAAAAGTCCTAATGAGGTTGGATTTATATACACGTAAAACATCTTTTTGTACTGGTCATTGATAATCTTTCGTTTGGAATCTCTTTAAGATTACGTTAAGCTTATGTTATTAATTGTTAAAATTGATAAAGACAAAGATTTAAAATTTCTCGGCATAACGATAAAGAAAACTTTCTTGATGAATATGCATGCCGATACATTAAACGATAGAGTATTTGCTTTTTTGGAAATTTTCCAAATTTGATGCAGATTAGCGGCTCAACATTTCCTATTGTATCTAATATTAGCATTAATGTAAAATAACCTTTGCGCTCCGAAGCTTGCGAAAAATTATCTATTATTAGCGTTTCAATTATTTTGGGGGTAGCTCTTATGTAACAAAGAAAATTATGCATTTAAATTAGCATGTGTTTAATTAAAGCTACGTTTTCGCACTTGATTATTAAGTACATTATCAAGTACCTGTACTTCTAAACAATACGTGACTATTGCGATTATTAGTTTTAACTATTTTAGCAATTTTAATTACGTGTATTTTTAATTGATCATCTGCAAATACCAAGTCTATAAAATCGCGGAATCCTCCGGATATGATAGGAACGCGTTTTCATTTTTAAATAAGTGTCATTGTGAAATAAAATTAATCATTGTAAATTCATCGAAGGTAAATTGTTTATTGAATCATTAATATAAGATAGTTTTTTTGATCACCGACATCTGGTTTAAACCATAGAAGAAAATTTGCTATAAAAGGTTGTAAAGGTCCGCTCGTCCTACATTTTCATACACTTACATATTCAATTACGTGTCTTTTACAGACATGTTAGACTTTTTCGTACATTTCCGTATTTTTTCACATATATTGAAATTTACAGGCGTATGTTCCGCGAACTTTTTATATTTTGATTTCGTTTTTGTGTGGTTATAGAAAGAGAAGAATATAATCTTTTCAAACAAAGCTACAGATGGGGTGGAGTCAGTAGAAAAGGGACAAATTGATAAACTTATAATTTCCGATAATTGGGTTTTTAATTCCGGTCGTTACTAATTGATCTATATAAACAAAAACTTTGAGAGATCATATCTAATTTTTTTATTATACAAAAAATGATCTATATATTGTATGCAAAAACACATTTTTGAAAAAATTGAATTGTCCTTTTTTACTGACTTCCCCCATATCTAAAGCTCTGTTCGAGTCGGGTCGGGTTTGAGGTCGACCCGAACCGATAAATTCGGATCGGTTCGGGTTTGATCCGGCAATCGTAAATAGTTTTCATTAATAACTTTTAGTTTTACTAAGACACTTGTATTTTGTGTCTTAAGGAGAGTTGTCCGGAATGTAATTGTGTATAAATCAGCAATTTTCGTTCAATTTGAATTAATCTTAAACGAGAAATAGCGTTTTTATTCTGATCCGAAATATTTCGGGTCGGGTCACGGATTGGACCCGACCCGACCCGATTGGAGCACTATATATACAGATTTTTTCGCAGCTCACTTAATGTCAAAACTTAAGAATACCTGTCTTCCTTACTTACATAAGAAGGTATATTTCATTGTAAATTAAATGCTGTTGGCATGATTTTATACTATATTATGAGGACAATAACAATTCATTCCTATTTCAAGTATCCCGTTCTTCACTAGTCCGAGGACAGTAACAAGGAGCGATAATTACTTTCGCTTCTAAACAAAAGAACAGATAGAAGTTAATTCTTGGGATTATTCCTTGCTCTTAATAATTACTAATATGAACTTTGTGGGGTTGACCTTGATAAGTCTGCCAGCAAATGCACAAAAAAAAGTTTCCAAACTCTAAATTTTTCTTCTTTTTCCTCAAAATAATCTCTTTTCCTTAGCACTTTGTAACATATTATTAGAATCCCGGATAATCTTAAATGAACTGGCATGCCGAATTTTGCAACTTTGACCAAAATTATGGCATATCAGTTGTTTTAAGATTATCCGGGGTTCTATATCATTTATTGACACAATCTCGGCAATATTGATTAGTTTTCGATTAAATAACTTAAATCATGCCATCTGAATGAATCCTAGGAAGGATTTTAATATCGATATGTTCAATTCTTTTGTTTATAGTACTGTTGCGTGCTACTATTTTAATCGGTCAAAGAGGGGTTTTTACGCAACTGGGATGAGAGCTAGACTGAATTAT